AGTTGAGTGCTTCTCCTGCCCTAATAGAGCAAATGCCTAAAAGAAGTATGTGAATTAAAAAAAAAATTTGTACTCACCTAGATGGATGTAGTATTGGTCCGATGTTGCATCTGTCCCTGCCACCCCTAAGACCAAGAACCGAGCGATCAAAGACCGCTCCGTTCTATGGTGTCCTTTTATGACACAGAGAATAACTGTGATTCAGAGGATCACAGCTATTCTCTGGTCATTCACAGTTTATAACACTCAGGAGAACATGTTCAGCCCTTCACTGGAGATCTGTGTTCTCCCTCCAGATTCTCCAGCCCAGAGCTGGAGAATCGGAGGGAACGCAAACTAAGCAGAGATAATTTACCTCTGCTTAGTAAACTGATCTTTTACTGTAATCTCGTGAGATTATAGTAAAATCAGCCGTTTTCCAGCGTTTGTAGACCGTTCTCCCTTCGTTTGGAGAACTGATCTACATATGCTTCATAAACGGCATTCACAGGAGAACTGTGTTCTCTGAGAATGCTGGAGAACTGAGCAGCGATCTATTACTGCTGGTTCATAAATGGACACCTAAGTCTTCAGTGAGCAGAGAACAGTGGCTGTCAGTCACTGCTCTTTGCTTTGCTCCTCCAGTGCTTACTGGAGTACAGGGCTTTGGAAGGGGCAGGAGCATCTGGCTCAGGGTCTCAGCAGCGTGCCGAGAGGCTGAGCCAGCTGCTGGGCAGGCATCTTGGTGGATCCCAACTTTAAAGTTGGGATCTCTGCAAAGCCTGGATTGGCTGAGTTGACATCATCCATCAAAGGACATTAATCCACTGTCAACTGAAATTGGGTCACAGGAGTGCAGAACCCTGTGCACTCCTATGATCCACAGGAGAAGTAGGGCCAAAAGATCTTTGACTCTACTTCTCCTTTAAGTTTCCCTGTCCCTTAATCATTGGTACAGAAAGCACCAGATGATTGTCATTAGTGGATTTCACTGATATGCCCCCACAGGTGACATTTGCTATCCTCCTCCCATAACCACACAACATAATGTCTATGTAAATAAATAGCACATCATAATCCTGGATCATAGTCTGCCCTTACAGATTTACCATAGCTGCCAATAGTCACGGATTACCCGGGAACTCTCATGGATTTTTAAAAAATGTCCCAGCATGTCTTTGTCTCAGCCAGAGTCGCAGAAATCACAGACATCAACCTTTTTTGTGTCAAGGCCTGCCAGAACTCTGCACAGACTTTGGGGCTTTTCAATATTGCTGCTGCAGCTGTGTGCCTGCTGGTCAGGGTACATTGGTTGGGTACATTCGGGATGAATCTCCTCTCCCTCCCCCAGTATAAACTTTAATTTGTTTCAGCTCTCTGGTGGAGACCTGAAGGGAACACCTCCTAGGCGGAGCCTGCCTCCTCCTCCATGGCTATACTGTATGAGTGGGTGGGAATGGGGATGCAACAGTCCTGTATCACCCTAGGTTCACCCACCGCAGCGTTTTACATTTTGCGGCAATGCAGTACAGTCCATTTAACATGATTTATTATGGGACATATTCACATCTCCGTGTTTTCACCTAATGCATTTTTTGGAAAGGGTCAGGGACTTTTTTTAAAGCAAAAAGTTGCGTTTTTGGTTCTATAGAATTCAATGGAAATGCTGCAGAAAAGCATGTAGTGTGTTTTTGATGCGTTTTGCATTTAAATCTGCCTAACAACAAGAAAAAAACCCAGAAAACTCATTACAAATGTGGCAAAATGCATAAAAAACGCAGGTGCAGAAATGCAAAATGCAACGCAAAACACAATGCAGAAACAGGTAAAACGCAACTTGTATAGGTGTGAACCTAGCCTTATGCAGACTCCAATATTGATGTTAGGCTGAGGTTAGTCCGCTCAGAGTGAAGCATTCTGGTGGTGTTTTCAACCTTCTGCCATGCTTGGCACATGATAGCAGTCTGATGCCCGGAACCCCTGCGCAAACTATTTGGTTTCACTGCAGTGCTCTTCTGATCCCTCAACTTGTGAGTAGAATTGTTGTTTCTATAAAGTATTTTTGACAATGTCACTGCACTATGGCCTTGCACTGTCTGCCTCCCTCCACTTTTGTTTCTAATCACAGATGCAGCATAGCCTTTCAGCGTTACGCTTTACTAGACTTACACAACTTTCTCTACTGGGGTGCCGCCGCTTCTTGGGATATTTATTTATTAAAACATGCAGTCTCCAGCAAATAAACTCCTAATAAGCAGAGATTCATCCCATGTATCATAACATTCTGTTAACCTCCACCCTTTAGTCATGGGAAGCCACCTTCAATAAAATCTATTATCTCCATCTGCCCAGCCCCCTCCTCACTTGTCTGTGATGTTACATCCAGAACTGAATGGAGTTGCAGCTATTCAGGAGATACTGAGAGTTTGCTTGCTCTGTGTTGTCACTGCTCAGTATGCTGCAGTCATGGAATCACCCTCCACAGGCTCTGAATTCTCTCTATAACTAGGTAAAGATGTGTTAACGTGCCCATAAAAAGAAGGAAAGAGAAAATGAGAGAGAATGGAAAGAGTAAAAGATAGATGGGAAGATAGAAGAAAAGAGAGAATGAGGTAGAATTAAAGTTTGAGAATTTAGGCAATAGAGGTAGCAAGAGAGGAGTAGAAAGCTTGAAGGAAAGAGAGAATGAAGAATAGGGAAAAATAGAAGGAATGAGAGAGAAAAGAAAAGATAGAGAAGGAAACGGATTGAGAGAAAAGAAAGAGAGAGAAAGAAAAAGTTTGAAAGAGAGTGAGAGAGAAGGAAAGCTAGAGAGAGGGAAAATAAAATGAGAGATTAAGAAAAAAAGTGAGTGAGAAGGAAAGAGCATTAGAGGGAGAGAGAGAGAGAGAGAGAGAGAAATGAGAGAGGGCAATGAGAAAATGAGAGAGAGAGAGAAAGTAAGGAAAGAGATTGAGAGACAGAAAGAACAAGAATAAAAGAGAGGAAAGACAAAATGAGAGAGAGGGAGAAGAATGAGTGGGAGGGAGAGGAAAGATAGAATGGGATAGAGAAGGAGAGGAAAGAGAGAATGAGAGAGGGAGAGGAAAGACAAAATGGGAGAGAGAGGAATAGGGGAGCGAGGGAGAGGAATGAGAGGAAGAGGAAAGAGAGAATGGAAGAGGGAGAGAAAGAGGGAATGGGAGAAAAGAGGGAATGGGAGAGACAGGGGAAACAGGGAATGGGAGAGAGAGAGGAAAGAGAGAATGTGAGAAAGAGAGACAGCGAGGAAAGAGAGAATGAGAGAGAGAGGGAGAGGAAAGAGAGAATGAGAGAGAGGGAGAGGAAAGAGAGAATGAGAGAGAGGGAGAAGAATGAGTGGGAGAGGAAAGAGAGAATAGGAGAGAGAGGGAGAGGAAAGAGGGAATGAGAGAGGGAGAGGAAAGACAAAATAAAAGAGAGGGAGAGGAATGAGAGGGAGAGGAAAGAAAGAATGGGAGATGGAGAGAAAGAGAGAATTGGAGAGAGAGGAAAGAAAGAATGGAGAGTGACAGCGAGGAAAGAGAGAATGAGAGAGAGAGAGAGGGAGAGGAAAGAGAGAATGAGAGAGAAAGGGGAAAGAGAGATTGGGAGAAAGAGAGACAGAGAGGAAATATAGAATGAGAGTGGAAAGAGAGAATGAGATAGAGCGAGAGAGAAGAAAGAGAGAATGGGAGAGGAAAGAGAGAAAGAGAGAGGTAAGCGTGAATGAGATAGATTGAGAGAGAAGAAAGAGAGAATGGGTGAGGAGAGAGAGAGAGAGAGGGAGAGAGAGAAAGACAGAATGAGAGAGAGAAAGGAGAGAGTGAATGAGAGAGAGAGGAAAGATAATGAGAGAGAGAATGAGATACAGAAAGTAAGTGAAAGAGAAAGAAAAGGAAAGAGAGAATTAGAGGGGGAGAGAGAGAGAGAATGAGAGAGAGGGAGGAAGAAAAAGAATGAAAGACAGAGAATGAGATAGAAAGAGAGGGAAAGGGAGAACTGGAAAGAGAGAGAGAAGAAAGACAGAATGAGAGACAGGAAAGAAAGAAAGAAAGAAAGAAAAACAAAGAAAGAAAGAAAGAAAGAGAAGAAAAAAGAAAGAGAGAGAATGAGAGAGAAAGAAAAAAAATGAAAGAGGGAGAAGATCGTTTAGAGTAACCAGTCCTTTACTCTTAGCCATTTAATACTGTCTGGTGCCATTTTTAAATGTTTCATACAAAAGTTCAAATCTGCATTTTTGTAATAGAAAGTTACTTGGAACCCCCAAGCATAACAGGTTTTCTGAAAGCAGAGGCCCTTAGGAAATGTAGGCGCTATACATAAACCTGCAACAAATTAATTAATATGTTAATGATATGCTTCTTGTAGAAGCACACCCTATTTTAAATGAATGCCTCGCCCCTAATTAAAGTACATTCCCCACCTGCAATTGCTTTCTGGACACGCAGGAAAAAAAGGTGTCCCTAAAAACTTTTTTTAAATGTTGGCAGCTATAGATTTACATATTGATAAAATGTAGTAAGTTATGACCAAATACAAACCAATAATTTCCTTTTAGATATACTGCATCTAAACATTAATTTGTTTTTTTTTTAGCATTCTAATGATTTGGTAATAATTTATATGAATACACCGTATTTTAATCGCCTCCCACCCGCCATATAGTACAATGACGTCCTCCCATTCTAACCGCACATGCGCGGCTCTGGGAATGCGCAATGCGGCAATCGGAAGTGCGCTGTGTTCCTCAGACACAGCGGATCACCTATCAACAGAAAGAGCCGAAGATGTTGGCTCGGTCATGTGATCAGCTGTGTCCAATCACAGCTGATCTCATGTAAATAGGGAAATGTCGCTTATCGGCATTTCTCTCCTCACGAGCTGTCACGCTGACAGCTCGAGAGGAGAGGAGAGGAGAGGAGAGGAGAGATGGTAATCTGCATTACTCGGAGGGGACATATACACTGATCATCAGGGCACTGATGATCAGTATGCCCTGATGATCTGTGTAGCCCCAGCAGTGCCACCTGTCAGTGTCCATCAGTGCCAACTGTCAGTGCCCATCAATGCCACATCAATGCCACATTTCAGTGCCTACCAGTGCAAATCAATGCAACATATCAGTGCCCATCTGAGCTGCCTTTCAGTGTCACCCATCAGTGCCAGTCAGTGCCCCTATCAATGTCAGTCAATGCTGCCAATCAGTGCCACCTATCAGTGCAGTCAGTGCCGCCTATCAGTGTGCATCAGTGCCGCCTATCAGTGCCTCCTAACAGTGCCAGTCAGTGCCACCTAACAGTGCCAGTCAGTGCCGCCTATCAGTGCCAGTCAGTGCTGCCTATCAGTGCCGCCTATCAGTGCCCTATATGATGTGCTACCTTTCAGTGCCCATCAGTGATGCCTGTCAATGCCCATCAGTGCCACCTACCAGTGCCTCCTCATCAGTGCCACCTATCAGTGCCCATCAATACAGCCTATCAGTGCCCATCACTGCAGCCTCATTAGCACACATCAGTGAAGGAGAAAAATCACTTATTTACAAAATTTTATAACAAAAACTAAGAAAAAACTTTTTTTTCCCAAAATTTTCAGATATTTTTGGTTTGTTTAAGAAAAAAATAACCCAGAGGTGATTAAATACCACCAAAATAAAGCTCTATCTATCACAAAAAAATGCAAAAAAATTCATATGGATACAGTGTTGCATGACTGCGCAATTGTCATTCAAAGTGCAACAGCGCTGAAAGCTGGAAATTGGCCTGGGCAGGAAGGGGAAGGGGCGGACTGACAACTCATGGGGCCCCTGGGCAATAGGTCCCTGCGTCCTTGCCCACACTCAAACCACACCCAAAAAAGCCTATGAAAGGTACCAGGGGCATCTCATGGGGCCCCCTACTGAACCCGGGCCATTGGGCAGTGCCCGAGTTCCCAAATGGTCAGTCCGCCCCCTGGGAAGGGGGTATAAGTGCCCTGTAGGCTAGTGGTTAAATATTAAATATATTTGTCTGCTGAATAATATCATAGCTGAAATTCGATTACACATTTTATTTTTTTTACTGAGTTAGTAAAATCAATTAATACTAAATAAGTAAACAATTGTATTGCCTCTTCTGGTAGCTGCAACTGCTGACATGCTCACATTTAATCCTGAAAACCATAATTGTTTATCTGGCTGTGTGATCTGCAGTTAGACACAGGTGTCCTCCATCTGCAGGTTTGGCATACTGTGCCTCTGATGTACATTGATGATATTTTCAGACTCTTCATGGAAAACACTGCCTGGCATAGTAACTATGGAAATGCACAAAGGCTTCAATTTCATATTATTAGTTGTCTTTCTGTGCAGGTGATGGAACAAAACTGTAGCCGGAGGGAGGACTGCAGTGTATGGCAAAGTAAAGCTTTGTAGGACTTTTCAGAAGCAAATGATTTAAGAGAACATTCTGAACTAGCATCAGGTTTTTTTCCAGTATGAGAGTGTGATTCATTGCAAAGTGATCTAAGCAGAGTCACGATTAACTGTTTTGAAAATACACAGACTCATGTGTAATCCAAAATCTAAATGATGATTTTCTAAAAGTGGAAAATAAAAGAAGGCCTTACTGTTTACAGAGAAAAAAAAGTAGTAGCTTTTGTTAACATGCACTCTTCCCAAAGATTTTTTTTTACATATTCCTACATATTAAGCAGTAAAAGAGCTTTAAAATAACATTACCTGAGCTTTTTAGCTGCTTGCACTGCAAAGTTATTAACTCTCACAAATCCTCAAAGATCACTCCAAAATCAGGTTTTACGGCAATTTCTAACATCTCAGTAATATCTGATGTGTGCTTACATTAGAGGAATGCAGACTGCCGGGATCTGACCTCTATAGGAAATTGCTGGGATTTTCAGTGCCTCTGAACTTTGAAGTTTAATTTCTTCACAATGCCCATAGCTGCAGAGGTGAGTGGTATTTAACACTTTAATGTGCATAGTCTAGGTACAGGTTCACTTTTAAGTATTATAAACCAGGTTTAAAGCAAACCTATGCAGGGTAAAGCATTGGGAATGCTTTTAATCTTCAGCTACCCAGAAACAGATGCTTACCTTTCCTCCAAATATGCTCTCTATCCACTTAGCAGTCTGGACCAAAAGAAACCACCTGGTACTAAGATTGTGCTCCCATGAAACAATACTGGGCCATAACCCAATACATAACCCAATGTAAGTTACAGCTTGAGCAGACTGTAGCTCACACATGGTGGCTTCTCCTGTTTTTCGCAGATGGACCTCTAGTAAAAGTTTTTATATTACTATGTCAGTGTACTGAAGATCCATTATATTTTTTATGAAAAGCTTTCAGCATACTTTAAAGTAGAACTGTAGGCAAAACTTTTTTTTTTTTTCATTTTGGATAGAGCAAGGGAGGGTTATAACCCCTGTCTGAATTTGTTTCGCCATCTGTGTCCCATTTTGCTTTCATTTCCTGTCACATAGCCAAACAGGAATTGAGAGGGAAATCTCTGGTAATTAAGCAAATTCCTTGGGGACCTCCAGGTCATCAGAACTAGTGTCTCCTTTGGAAGATTCCCCCCCCCTTACTTTTATGGAGACAACCCATCATTTTCTTTTACTTTCACTTTCAATGATAATGGTAAAAAATACAAATAGAGAGGGTGAATCTCCCTATCGGGGACACAGACAGCAATAAAACTGACAGGTGTTCTAAACCATCTGCACTCTATCCAAAACGAAATACCAAAAAAAAAAGTTTTGCCATTGGTTATCCTTTAAGATAGAATTGCTACCAGTTTCTTATTGTATTTTATATTAAATATTTTTCACAATATAGTACCTTTAGACTGTTATAGTTCACTGACAATTTTATAATTACCTAAACACATGATAGCTGGGTTGAGTTGCTGTATCGCCTGGTGTTTAAAGATACATGAATTAGAGTTTACACTCTTTTAGTTACATCATTGATATATTTTTGGATAATAAAAATAATTCTAATGTGTGAGAAACTCAATGTAGGGGGCTAAGGATACAGACGTAGGTAACAGGACAAGGCAAATATGAATAAGGATAGTTATATGGTATTTAGATAGAATCACATGCATTAGTTCTTTCAGGTACTGGGTTATCAAGAATAAAGGAGGATGGTTTATTTTTAAAAGTACCATGGGGCATAAAATAGCATTTAACCTTTGCTGTGCATTGGGATCCCCACCTCAAGGGTAGTTTATTTTAGGTCCCTCTGAGTTCAACTTTAATAAACACCGTATTTTCTTACATTATAATATCAAGGAATCATAAAACATGCTCATTTGTAAGGTAGATTATTATATCTCCATAGTGAATTAATGAGGTATTTTGCAATGCATCGCTGATTTTTACCATTGTCCTCATGAAAATGTAAAACAATAGTCTGCTTTAAACTGACCACCAAATGTTCCTGTATTGTAAATGTGCAAAATTCTATTACGGTTCAGGAACACCTTTATGTACAGGTTAATGTCATTAATACATTTTAAGGTTATTAGTCCATTGGTGTTGTACTTTGCATATTCAGATGCTATGATTTTACCATTCAGAGAAGAATAGTCATAGTGACCTCCAATCAAAGTTTTGGGAATTTTGAGGCCCCAAGAAACATTAGATTCCACCTCAGCGGTGTTTATTATCCTCTTAATATGCATAAATGCACTGCAAATGACTTGATTATTAGGCATTCCATAAAAATTAAATGTGTCTTTTGCAATGTGGGAAATAAGTAATTGCTCAGTAGCACTTGTATGAGGGGAAGGCTGGCTAGCAGTTCTGTAATGCTGTCATTGTGCTGTTGGAAGGCAATCAGAGAATTGAAATGCCATTGTGATAGATGCAGTTCCATCTGGCTCTTTGGAAGTGTTCACTGGAGTGCTCTTTGGCAGCAAAACAGTCTCCTTTCATATTGTCAAGTAGGCTAGAAATACAGCGACATAAGCAATCATATACCACTCAGGACACCAAAGTGTTTGACTGCTTAGAGAAGACAGACATCCTAATTTGCTCTGTTTCCTAATATATTCCAACAATTCATGTGTTTGATACAGTTACAATGCGCCTCCTGATTATCGTTGAAATTCCAACTTAAAAAGTAGCAGCAGATTGTCTTTCGAAATCATTTATCCATCTCAGTCATCAGCTATGTTTAGTGATTTAGTTGTACATCTTGCAGCAGAAAAAGAACAGATTCTCTGTTAATTCCCACTGTTTTCTCGACATACTGCATATGTCTCCATACCTTTTTTATTAACACATGACAGGGCTCCTGGTGCGTCATTAAACTAGTATGCCCCACTTACCACAGCTACAGACAGATTTAGGACTGGTGTGCTTTGATTCTTCACTTCTAGCTTTGCCTTTCTCTAGTCAATAAAAAATGTTTTACATTGTATTGTGACTTTTGCTGAAATGTATTTATTTATTTCAGGTTTTTATATAGCGCCGTCAATTTATACAGCGCTTTACATATATATTGTACATTCACATCAGTCCCTAACCCTCAAGGGGTGTACAATCTAAGGTCCCTAACTCACATTCATACATACACATACTAGGGCCAATTTAGACAGGAGACAATTTACCGACCAGCATGTCTTTGGAGTGGTACCTGGAGGAAACCACGCAGGCACAGGGAGAACATGCAAACTCCAGGCAGGTGGTGCTGTGGCTGGGATTTGAACCAACGACGCTAATACTGCCAGGCGGAACTGCTAACCACTTAGCCACTGTGCTGCCCACATAAAATAAAAATGGTTAGTGTATCTTAGTGTATCTTACTCAAATATGGAAAAATATTTCTTCTGATAATATGTATAATACTTTACTTTAATCATGCAAGAGCTAATTTTAGGAGAAAGCTAATTATCCTGCAGGTATCATTTTGAATTATCTGAGGAATGCAAACCACCCCAAAGCATTCTTTCCAAATCAGTGTTTTTCTGGAATCCTAGGGTTGCTCTACAGGTTGCCAGGTATTTCCTGAGCAATAGGCACTTACTGCCAGATAGGAAACCAATGACAAAAGGGATCTATAAAGCGGACATTTTTGCCACTGACCATCAATATAAGAAGCATTTTTTCCTCTAACCACAGATAGAAGAAGTACTTTTGCCACTGACCACCAATATAAGAAGTATTTTTGCTGCTGACCAACAATAGAAGTATTTTTGCCATTGACCACCAATATAAAATGCATTTTTGCCACTAACCACCAATAAAAGAAGAATTTTTGTCACTGACCACCAATATAAAAAGTATTTTTGCCACTGACCACCAATATAAGAAGCGTTAATCCCACTGAACACTATGCTACATACTGGGAGCTCTAAATACTGTATAGTAATTATTTTCAGGCGTTCTCTAAGGCTTTGGTCACACTGAATCTGACTTTGAAATTGTTTGACTTCACTTGAAGTCGCATGATTTCAAAGTTGGATGTCAGTACGACTTCAGGTGTGGCTTGGGAAGACATC